CCCCAAAACCCCAAAACCCCAAAACCCCAAAACCCCAAAACCCCAAAACCCCAAAACCCCTGCTAATAAAATTATTTTGAAAGTAATGAGAGCGGCTAGATTCGTTAGAAAGAGTAAGTTTTAAAGCAATTTTAAGCTAAATTTGACTGATATAGGCAAAAATTTAGCAGATTTGGACTCCAATATCCAAGACTTTGTCCTTGTGGATAAACCAAATATTAAGAGACACAAAGCAAGGAGAAGGAGAGCCAGAAAGATCGAACTTAAGAAACTAAATAAGCAGGAAGAAATTGATGCTAATGCAATTGAAAATTTTGGATTTTCATCTAACTTCTGTTGTATCGATGAGGAAGAGTTCAAGGAGCTTAATCCTGAAGCCCCTGATATCACCCTTCCTACTTTTGCTATAGAGGCTAATTCTGGTGTGACTTTGGATGCTGATGAAGGATCTACCAGTTATAAGTCTCCTAAGTTTCTAAAATGCAAATAAGTCAACACCGAAACTGAAATTCCTGAAGGAAGTAATGAGGAAGATGACTTTACAGCCTATAGAGTATGACTCTAAGGTTTATAAGACCTCTTTCATTAAAGGCACCAATTGTAACGAACTTGTGCTATGCAAAACTGGCTGTTATGTTAGCAAGACTTGGATTGTCGAAAATTGTGGGGCAGAAAGGTGGTCTACCAAGACTACTATTATTGCACTAACTGAAGACCTCGAGTTCCAAGTCCCCAGTATTGATAAATAAAGTCTATCCTAAAGAACAAGTCATGATAACAGTTGTGTTTAAGGTTAATGACCGTAATTTGGAAGTAGTTGGAGGTGAAAACAGTCAAATTATTGAAGTCAAGCTTAGCTTAAATCACCCTGAGATTGGCAATTTTGGAGAACCTTTAAGAGTCTATCTTGAGGTTGATCAAGCCAAATATGACTCCCAAGTCAATAAAGAAGGCAATGGAGGTAGCCAGCTGCCCCATAATGAGTACACTAAGGTGTGGACTGAGCAGTAATTGAGCATTTTCAATATTTTGGTTAAAAATAGGGGTTTTGGGGTTTTGGGGTTTTGGGGTTTTGGGG